AGGAGCCCTGGGGGATGCCGTGTTTGGGGTGGAAGGAGCCCTGGGGGATGCCGTGTTTGGAATGGGAAGGAGCCCTGGGGGATGCCGTGTTTGGAATGGGAAGGAGCCCTGGGGGATGCCGTGTTTGGGGTGGGAAGGAGCCCTGGGGGATGCCGTGTTTGGGGTGGGAAGGAGCCCTGGGGGATGCCGTGTTTGGGGTGGGAGGAGCCCTGGGGGATGCTGTGTTTGGGGTGGAAGGAGCCCTGGGGGATGCCGTGTTTGGGATGGGAGGGAGTCTTGGGGGATGCCGTGTTTGGAATGGGAAGGAGCCCTGGGGGATGCCGTGTCTGGGGTGGGAGGAGCCCTGGGGGATGCCGTGTTTGGGATGGAAGGAGCCCTGGGGGATGCCGTGTTTGGGGTGGGAGGAGCCCTGGGGGATGCCGTGTTTGGGGTGGAAGGAGCCCTGGGGGATGCCGTGTTTGGGGTGGAAGGAGCCCTGGGGGATGCCGTGTTTGGGGTGGAAGGAGCCCTGGGGGATGCCGTGTTCAGGGGGAAGCAGCCGCAGCCAGGCAGGGCTGAGCCCGTGTCCCTGCCCCTTCCCTTCCAGACGTACATGCTGCACGACTCGCTGGAGCACGCGCAGCTCTTTGACCTGATGAGGAGGATGCTGGAATTCGACCCCTCGCAGCGCATCACGTTCTCCGAGGCCCTCCTGCACCCCTTCTTTGCCGGGCTCTCGGCAGAGGAGCGGATGCTGTGCGGGCGCGGCGCCAGCCGGGACCTCAGCAGATGACGGCCGGGATCCCTTGGGATGCATCCCTCAGGATGGAGCCCTCGGGATGGATCCCTCGGGATGGAGCCCTCAGGATGGATCCTCAGGATGGAGCCCTCAAGATGGATCCCTCAGGATGGACTCCTCAAGATGGATCCCTCAGGATGGATCCCTTGGGATGGAGCCCTCAAGATGGATCCTTCAGGATGGAGCCCTCAAGATGGATCCCTCAGGATGGGGCCCTCAGGATGGATCCCTCAGGATGGAGCCCTCAAGATGGATCCCTCAGGATGGATCCCTCGGGATGGAGCCCCCGGGATGGATCCCTCAGGATGGATCCCTCGGGCTGGATCCTTCAGGATGGGGCCCTCAAGATGGATCCCTCAGGATGGGGCCCTCAGGATGGATCCCTCAGGATGGACCCCTCAAGATGGATCCTTCAGGATGGAGCTCTCGGGATGGATCCCTCAGGATGGACCCCTCAAGATGGATCCTTCAGGATGGATCTTGCCGGCCTCTGCAGCTCAGCCCCACTCCCCTCCCCGAGTCCACAGAGGCTGGGGCACTGCCACAAGGACCCTGGGAGGAGAGGGGAAAGGAAAGCTCCGTTGGAAAGCACAGATTTGTCTATTTATATGTTGTAAAGTTAAAATAAAGTGTTTCTTATTGTTTGATACTTCCCTCGTAGGTGGGTGTAGGGTTGCGTTGCCTCTGCTGCAGAGGAAGAGGGGGATGGTGAAGTCACCTGGAATCGGTGCAGGGAGTGGCCCGGTGGCTGCCCTGGCTGCAGAAGGTTCTAGAAGGAGAGCAGACAAATAAACATCTGCACACAGCAGCACACATGAAGAGTTGCACTTTATTTCAGGGCGTGGTCCCCCCCGCAGTGGGCAGTGGCAGGAATTGGTCAGTACAAACATCAGGTCACCAGTGGGGTCACCAAGCAGTGCCAGGCGCGGTGATTGTCACCTCGTCACCACAGCGGGCCCAGAGCAGCCCCCAGGGGCAGCTGCTGTGTGCTGGGGCAGGTGGGGTGGGAACTATCCCAAACACAGCTACAGCAGTGCTCCGTTCTTGGAATCGACTCCGGCACCGTGGTGACGGTGAGGAGCCCGTTCTGGGTCTCCCAGAAGAGCTGGTACCTCACATTCCAGGTGTGTGAAGCCAAGAAACATCTGCAGTGAGAGGAAGAACAGCCAAACACCCAAATCCAGCAGGCAGCGAGCACAGCCCCACGCTGCCTGCTGTGCCCTGCACGGATTTGGGACTGGGAATCCCGTTCCCTACACCAGGACTGAGCCTTCCTGTCGTGCAACACTGTTCACTTTATTTTTTTAGTTCAACCTGGGGAAGCATTTCAAGGCTGGCAACGACCAGGGCCTTGGTGCTTCCCAGAGCTCCATCCTTGCAAAAACACCATCACCTGCCCCAGTGCCTTCCAGGCAGGGCAGCTGCACCCTGGACTATCCCTGCCCTGCTCCGTGTGTACAAGCTACAGCTCAACAGCCAAACCCAGAAAGGGCAGGAAAAGCCTGCAGAAAGCAGAAATTGAAACAGCAAGTCTCCTACTGAGTGTCTTGAGCAAAGAGAGTGAAAGTAAGGGGACTAAAGCTAACACTGACTACAGCAAGAACCTTTTTAACCCGCTGCTGCTCCCGGGTGAAGATCCAAGGAAACAGCCAAAAAACCAAGAAAGGCAGAGGGAAAACGTGTGTTTGTGTTGTGAGCGACCACCACGCTGCTGTGCTGTCCCAGTCGGAGCCCCCGCAGCTGGGGCTGAACCGTGGGGCACAGGATGGAGGGCAGAGCCCCCCGAGAGCAGCAGGGGGGAGCCAGGGCTGCAGCCAGCCAGGGCACAGCCCCTGGTCCTGCTGAGGTAGATATGGCAACGTGCAGGGGGGGCAGACCTCGGGGTGAGCCCGGGGCTCAGCAGCCTCCTGGGCCCTCCACTCTGCCAGGCCAGAGCCAGAAATCGCTTCCTTCCGAGCAGGGCACGCTCTGCCCTGCTCCTCTGGCAGCCCTGCCTTTGTCCCAACACAGGAAAGAGGAGTGCCCGACTAAAGCCCCAGCTCGGGGCACAAGCCGTGGGTCCCACCTGGACTGGTCCCTGTGCTTCAGCCTCCCAAGGGATCCGGGCACAGAGGCAGCGCCCGGAGCTCTCCCGGGTGCCAGGGCAGGGCTGGGCGAGGTGGAGCAGCCTGCAGGAGCCCTGGGATGGGCTGGGAGAAGGTGAGAGGAGCAGCAGAGCTCCAGCACTGCCCGCAGCCCCAGCTCCCAGCAGAGCTCCCAGCAGAGCTCCAGCACTGCCCACAGCCCCAGCTCCTCCCGAGGAGCAGCTCCGGGTGCCCAAGCCGATTGCCAAAGCCAGCGAGCTGGTGGCTCCTCAGCTCGTCCCTGCCCCGGGCACTGCACCCAGGCCAGCAAAAGGAACACAGGAAAGGATAACTCCACGTTTCTGGCCAGGCACGGCACAGCAGAGCAGATTTCTGATGGAAATCCCGCCCAGGATCTCTGGCACGGCCCTCCAGGAGCACAGCAGCTCCCACCACACCCTCTCTGCTGCCAGCAGACAGGAGCCAAACCCCTCCTCAGGCCAAGCCCGCCCCACACACAGGCTTTGACTCGGATGGGAATGAAGAGATCCGTGAGCTGCTTCCCAAACCATACCAAATGTAGCAGGGATGCTGAAAGGACAGGGGAGCTCACCCCAAACATCACCTGCAGCACACAGCACCCAAGAACCCCAGAGCAGCCCTGCCCTGCCCTACTCCACTCCCCCAGCCCTGGGGCTGGGTCAGCACGGAGAAAGAACAAAAGGAAACAACCCCAAACCCCAGGAGGACGCTGGAAAAGTTCTTTTCCATAGCAGGCCTCCACCCCACAGAGCTGGGCTTCGGCCACGAAGCGAACAAAGAAAAGCCAACGGTACAGAAACAATAAGGCCTAGCTGAGGAAGGACATCAGTGCTCCCAGAGCATGTGGGAGCCCCTGGCTCCTGGCACAAGCTCTCCAAACAGGGAACCCTCTCCGTGAGGGGCAGGACCGGCTGGGAAGGAGAGGGAGCTACAGCTGCCTTCTGGAACACAAAACAGGCATGGGGCAGTCAAAACCAACATGGGAACCAAATGAGATTTTCCCTCCACTCAAGCAAGGGATTTCTACACAATCAAGGGGTGCTGTTCCCACCAGGACGTCCTTGCTGGGAATAGCCAACCAGAAGGACATGAAACATCTCGAAGCTCCAAAGCACCCTTATTTGTACCATGTGCCAGCCAGGGCTGGGCAGCAGCAGGGGACAGACACCACGGTCCTGCACGCTCCTTCATCCCACAGCAGGAGAGAATGAAAACAGCTTTGCAGGAACAATTCGCTTCCTCTTCCTCCTCCTTTTTTTTTTTGTTTGTTGTTTTTTTTTTTTGTTCCATTTCACGATTATCCCATTTTCTTCTTTTTAAGTACACAGCGTTTCTTCCAGAAGGCGAAACCCTCCAGAACTTCACATCCTTTTTTTTTTTTTTTCTTTTCCCCTCGTTTAAGGCGTCACCAGAGTCGACCGGCCGGGATCCAGCACACAGCTTGGCTTTCACAGAGCTCCTCCTCTCTCCCTTGGGAGCCAGGGGCTGCACAGGCTCTAAGTGGAGTGCAGGGGGATGACAAACTTGCAGCCGAAGGGCGAGTGGTAGTTGATGCCCACCTCCTGGAAGACCTTCTGGGGGATGCCAATGTCACAGAGGTAGACGCGGCCGGCGCGCTCGCCCAGCGGCAGCGGCAGCCCCAGGGCCAGCGACCACTTGGCGTCGATGCCCAGCTCCATCTCGCTGATGGGGGGGTCTATGCTCAGCACGGGGGCTCGGTTCTGGTTGGCCCAGTCCACCACGGCTTTGTACCAAGGCTGGTCCCTCAGGAAGGCATTCTCGTGACAATCCAGGCAGTTGATCACTAAGTCAACCGGGGTGTCTGGGAGGTCTGGAAGAAACGCACACACAGGGCACCAAATTCACTACAACTGCTGCTCTATCAGGATACACAACAAGGAGCACAGGAGGCAAACCAGGACCTTCAGAAGGGCCAAATGAGTACAAAGACAAGCAAAACCGTGTTGCAGTGCAAAGTGGAGCGAGGTGGGAAGGCTCAGGCTGCACAGAAGCCAAACATGTCCTTCAGGAGATCCGGATAGAAAAGTACAGATATATACAAATATACACAAATCTAGATGTACAAATCTACCAGCAGATCTGGGGTTTGGCTTCCACTCTCTCTGCACAGCCTGGCCTCACCTGCTGTTGCTGCCATCCTTCCCCCACACAGACCCATCCTGAACAGCTCTCCAGCACTCTGGGGACATCCCCAGCCTGGCAGGGACCTCAGCCAGTGAGCAGTGCCACTGACTCACCAGTGCAGGCAGCCCAGGGAGCAGTGGGGCTCTCTGTCCACCAGAAAGGACCATTTTCTATTCCACAAGGTGAAAATAAGGCTGGCTTTTGGAATACACCAACTGTGCTACACTGCTGCCTGCCCCACAGAGCGCTGTCGCTCTCACCTGCTGCATTCCTTCACCTGATGGATCACAAAGTCCTTTGTGCAAAACCATGGAATGGTTTGGGCTGGAAGGACCTTAGAGTTCATCTCATCCCACCCCCTGCCCATAGGCAGGGACACCTTCCACATCTCAGAGTGCTTCGAGCCCCGTCCAGCCTGGCCCTGGACACTTCCAGGGATCCAGGGCAGCCACAGCTGCTCTGCAAAACCTGTTCCAACCTTTTACAATATTTTATAATAGGCAAGTAGCTCTGTCAGCACAGCACAGCCCTAACTCCCAGCTTTGTTTCTCCCCAGAAGTTCAACTGAAGCAGCTTGGAAAACAACTGGTGAAGTGCTAAGCAGAAGCCAGCACTTTCCCAGGAGCTGCTTATTGCAGGGAATACTGAACTGGGAATCCTGACAGCTGCTGCAAGTGGCTCAGCAGAGCTGGCTCCTGCTTTGCAGCAGCAGCTGGACACTCCTTCCCTCCCAGCTCCAGCAGGCTGAACAAGGCAGCCCCTTATCCCACCACCACAGCTCCATGCAGCAGCTCTTCCTGACCTGTTCCACCGGAAACATCCCTGGCAGCACAAGCACTGCTCTGTGAGGCTCCGAGTGCCAGCTGTCCCCGCAGCCTCTGGGCAGCCACCCAGGCGTGCCAGTGCCACTAGATGGTGCCAGGGCAGCGGGCAGAGGCCAGCCCTGCTCCCCCAGGAGAAACCAGCCCTGCTCCCCCAGAAGAAGCCAGCCCTGCTCCCCCAGGAGAAACCAGCCCTGCTCCTCCATGAGAAGTCAGCCCTGCTCTCCCTGGAAGAAGCTAGCCCTAGAGAAGCTGCCCTGCTCCCCCCAGAGAAGCCAGCCCTGTTCCTCCATGAGAAGTCATCCCTAGAGAAGTCACCCTTGATCCCCCAGAAGAAGCCAGCCCTGTCCCTTCAGGAGAAGCCAGCCCTAGAGAAGCTGCCCTGCTCCCCTAAGAGAAGCCAGCCCTGGAGAAGCCAGGAGAAGGCAGCCCTAGAGAAGTCACCCTTCCTTCTGGAGAATCCAGCCCTAGAGCAGCTAGCCCTAGAGAAGCTGCTCTGCTCCTCCACAGGAAGCCAGCCCTGCTCTCCCTGGAGAAGCCAGCCCTAGAGAAGCCACCCTTGCTCCCCCAGAAGAAGCCAGCCCTAGAGAAGCTGCCCTGCTCCCCCAGGAGAAGGCAGCCCTAGAGAAGCCAGCCCTGCTCTCCAAGGAAAAGCCAGTCCTGCTCCCCCAGAGGAAGCCAGCCCTAGAGAAGCCAGCCTTGCTCCCCCAGAGAAAGCCAGCCCTAGAGAAGCCAGCCCTGCTCCCCCAGGAGAAGCCAGCCCTGCTCCCCCAGAGAAAGCCAGCCCTAGAGAAGCCAGCCCTGCTCCCCCAGAGAAAGCCAGCCCTGCTCCCCCAGGAGAAGCCAGCCCTGCTCCCCTAGAGAAAGCCAGCCCTGCTTGGCCACTCACCTTTGACGCTGGACACCTGCTGGCCCTGTGTCTTGCTGAAGAGGTTGAGCTCGTTGGTGATGGACTCCAGCATCTTGACGAAGTTGGGGAGGAAGAGGATGACGTGCACGTCGTGGTTGGAGAGGTGCCGGCCGCAGCTGATGCCCTGGGCGCCCTTCACGTGGGGCCCGCAGAGCAGCGCCACCGTGGGCCGCTGGTGCACGTTCTTGGGGTTCAGTCTGAAACACAGCCAAAAAACAGGGACTGTGAGCAAACCCCAACTTCTTCCTGCACGAGAAAAAAAAAAAAAACTTAAAAAAAACCATAAATGCAAATTGCCAGGTGCTCTGCAAATCTGCCACCGCTCTCCAAACAACCCACATCCTCTTGTGGTGCTGCCGCTGCTCTGCCTGCATGCTTAGAGAAGCTCAGACTTGTTTGGGTGGAAGGGACCTAAAAAGGTCACCCACGTGGGCAGGGACACCTTCCACTACCCCAGGCTGCTCCAACCTGGCCGTGGACACTCCCAGGGATGGAGCAGCCACAGGGAAGAATTTCTTCCACATATTTAACATAAATCTCCTCTCTTTAAGTTCCTGATGAACCCTCTCTGGCTTCCTTATAGGCCCCTTCAGATACTTGAAGGTTGTTCCAGCCTTCTCTAGCCCTTCCCTGCACCCACAGCTGAGAGCACAAGATCCCAAGGATTGTAGGAGAAAGCTAAAAATTTGAGGTGAGCTTCCCCATCAGAGGAGTCACAATTAAAAAAGAAAAATTATTTCTACTCCCTAAGCTTCATCAACTGCACAATAAAGTGAATTTGGCCTGGAAGGCATCAGGGCTGGCAGCAGGAATTTCAGCTGCCAGTGTGCCATCAGTCAGTGCTCTCCATCAAGTGAGCAGGTCCTGGTAAAGAGCTCCTGAATAACAAATCAGGTCCTGGTAAAGAACTTCTGAATAAAAAATCAGGTCCTGGCAAAAAGCTCCTGAGTAAGAAATCAGGTCCTGGTAAAGAGCTCCTGAATAACAAATCAGATCCTGGTAAAGAGCTCCTGAGTAAGAAATCAGGTCCTGGTAAAGCACTCCTGCATAAGCAGATGGAGACTGAAGGGTTACCTTTCTTTTTGAAAGCAAATAATCTGGAGCAGCTATCAAGAGCACAAAAACACAGGTGCAGTTCCTGCCCACAGCAACAGCCACGGAAGCAGAGCTCTTGAGGAGCCAGCAAAAGGCACTGAGTGCACTCCAAAGCTGCTGCAAAGAGCAGGATGTGCTCAGGTGAGCTGCACATGCCTGAAAAGCTGAGTTAGCACAGCATTGTTCTCACAGGCTGCTTCCACTGACAGTGAAATTATGACACATTGAAATTTTATTGACACACTGACATTGCAACGTGCCAAACCAGCAAAGGGAAGGCTCCTTTCTGTGCAGAAGGGAGCTCATCACACATTCTGCAGTGGCTCCATGCACCTCAGGCAGCACCTGCGCAAAGCTCAGCTCCCCAAACAACCCCCAGCAAGGGGGAAGGAAAATCTCAGCTGTGCTCTGTCTGTGAGCCAAGGGCCAAAAGTGGCAGCAGCGAGCTGAGAGGGCTCTGCCAGCCCCTTCCCTCCCCACAGAGGCCCCAGCTGTACCTGTTGGGCCCCCCCAGGAGGCTCAGGGCCATCTGGCTGGCACACACCCCTGTCATCTCCAACCTCCTCTCCAGGGTCAGCCCGTGCTTCTCGGCCACCGCCAGCAGCTTCTTGTGCAGCTCGTAGGACACGCTGGGCACCACCAGCCCCGAGTCTGGGGGGCAGAAACAGGGGAGGGAGGCACAAACGGGGACAGTCAGACACCTCAGCAGAGTGGCAGGGAAAAGGCTCCTTAACTGCTCACCCACGCTCCTTCCCAGGCCGACAAACGAATCCAAATTACTCTCAGCGAGGCAGAGACAGCTTAACACAAGTGCTGGCTTAAAATAACACTTCTGCAAAAGCTCCACGGGAAATTTTAGTAACACAAGGGTTGAGAAAGCCTTTGGGACTTACAGATGGAATATTAAGGTTTTTCTTAATGGTCTCCAGGCCAACAGTGTTTTAACCCATCATAAAGTGCTCCTGAGCACTGTGAAAGTCAGAAGAGCAGCTGTGAAGTGCCAAAAAAAGCCTGGATAGTTTTTGCCTCCTGACACTGGTCCCCAAAATCCCAAGATCACAGCAAAACAAGCCATCCCACATTTGCTGGAGGGTGTTCCCATGCCAGAAGGGCTGCTCCAGACCCAACAGCTGGATCACAGCACACAGAGGCAGCAGGGAAATAAATGTTCAAAGGATAAACTCGGCAGAAAAACACCTGCCAGGTGCTCTGCAGAGCCCGGGCTAGCGAGCTGGGAAATGCTCCAGCATTTGGATCAAGAGAAAAGCAACATGAGAGGTTTTGTAAAGTGCTGAGAACTGTCCAGGCTGGCCTGGGACACTCCAGGGATGCCAGGGGCAGCCACAGCTTCTCTGGACAAGCTGTGCCACCCCCTTAGGGGATGGCCTCAGAGCTGGAGCAGCTCTCAGCTCCTTCTCTTCCCAGGAATTCCCAGCTCCCACTCAGACAGGCAGAGGAGGAGCAGCATGGAGCAAAGAGGCCAAGGACTAAAGGCAATGCCTGCATCAGGAAACATCAGGAAAAAAGGGGGAGCTCAGTGCCCCCATCGGCATCTCTCCTCCAGCGTCCCCCGTGCTCAGCAGCCCTGGGTCACCCTCACACTGCCCTTGGCACCTCGGCCTTTGTCTGGGGGGGACAGTGGCCCCCTGGGTGCTCCTGGTAGCCCAGCTGGGCTGGGGCTGCCTGTGCTGCTGGGAAAGAGCTGTGGGAATGTGAGAGGGATGGGGAAATGTTCCAGGGCACAGGCAGTGCCAGGGGGGCACAGGCAGTGCCAGGGGGCACAGGCAGTGCCAGGGGGCACAGGCAGTGCCAGGGGGCACAGGCAGTGCCAGGGGGCACAGGCAGTGCATTGCTGACTCTGTACTGCTTTGTTTTCTTTTTTTTTGTACTATTGCATTTGTATTTTTAATTTTCCCAGTAAAGAGCTGTTATTCCTATTCCCATATCTTTGCTGAGAGCCCCTTAATTCCAAAATAACAACAATTCAGAGGGAGGGGGTTGACATTTTCATTTCAGGGGAGCTCCTGCCCTCCTCAGCAGACTCCTGTGTTCAAACCAAGGCACCACCCAGCCAGGCAAGCTCCAGCAGAAATGGGAGGTTTTGCACATCCTGGGGGGTGTTGGATCCCTGCATGCTGAGAAATTCAGATTTTCTGCGCTGAAAGACACACACACTCAAGAGAACACTGCATTTGACCTCAAGCTGAGAGAAGGTTTCCAAAATGAATTGATAACACTGAGGTTATAAGTGTGTAGTTTAAATAGAAATGTGTAATATCCCATAGTAGAAAAGTTAAAGTTTTAAAATACAGTGATATATTAGTTTTAATATATAGTAATATATTAGTTTTAATATATAGTAATATATTTTAAAATACAGTAATATAAAGCTAAGACAGAAGTTTAAAGGCAGTGCCTAGTCCTTCTTCATGAATTTAAGTAGTATTATATAACTGAACAGAGAAGTCCACATTACAAGACACAAGTAATTAGTTATCAAGTTAAAAGTAAAAATAATTTAAGTGTCATTTTCTTAATTAGTTTTTCCTTAAAAGACCTTGTAGAGATAGATTCTGAGCCATTTTATAACTTGTTAATGAAATGCTGTAGAACTCACAGCTTGTAAGACTGTAATATAGATAAAAACAATAAACAAGTTCAGAGACAAAACACCATCTCTATACATTTAATCCAAAACAAAACAAACAAAAACAAAACACCCCAAAAACATACAAAACCCGTAAGAAAACCCAAAAAACAAAAGAGAAACCAAAACAAAAAACCAGAAACCCCCAAAATACCTAAAACCCCCTCAGAATAAACCCCAAAAATCACCAATCAACCGAACTAAAAAACCATGATAAACATCCCTAAAAACAAACATCCCTGGCAGGTCTGGGACCCTGGCAGGGCTCAGGAACCCCCCTGGACAGAGCCCCCAGAGACACTGGCTGTGATCTCTGGCCATGGAAAAGAGTTTCCAATCTCACAGGATGAATTACCAGCTCTCAGTGTTTGATATCAGTAATAATTAAGTGTGGCACAGGTGCAAAAGTAAAATTTTAGGATTCTAGATGAGGGGTCCAAAGGGGACAAGATGCAGGAAATTGGGTGTGCCTTGTCCTTTTTCTCCTTCTCCATGCCCTCCATGTCTCACTGTGGTGTTGGCATTTTTCTGTTGGTTCAGGCTGGGGACACACTGTCCAACGTAGGTGACAGATATTGGCACGTTATTGTAAATCCAGCCCAGGGAGTTTCTGGTATTTAATGTTTGTCACATCCCACTGAGGGCAGAGCCCCACACGCTGCCCTGCAGGACAGAGCTGGGCAGGGCAGCAGAACATGTTATAAATAAGCAAAAATAAACAACCTTAAAAACCAACACAAACAAATTATGACTTCTTTAACAATAGGGCAGAAAGACAGAGACTTTCTACAATCTCAGAACCATCAATACCACAGATTCCAACAGCTGTAATACAATGTGAAATCAGCAGAATGAATATACATCAGCCGATTGTGAAATTCGATGCATATGGAAATTAGTAAAGGTAATAAAAAAGGATCGGGAGTTCTCAGAGGTACGCATGTACATGAAAGGGCAATGAGTCCCGACACCTGTGAATAAACAAACCCATTCCCTACAAATCCTTATTGGAATTGTGGGGTTTGATTTTTCACCATGCCCATGCCAATGTCACCTGCCCACTGCCCTGTGCCACCCAAGCCCTGCTGTGCCACGCTGCCAGGCCCTGCTCTGCCACTGCTCCTTGGTTTCCAAGATCTGGGGGAGTGTGGGGAAGATTTGGAATGAGTGATCCAAACTTGGTCCTGCTGACCCCAAAAAAGGCAGATCCCAAACTCTACTTTTGCTCCATCTGCTTAAAGGTTGGACCTGTGGGAGTCCAGAGCACCCCTCTGGCTGCCCCCCATGCCCCGAGCCCCTGGCAAAGAGCCCAGGGACCTTGGCAGCAAGTCACAAACACCTGTGGATTCCATTTTAGCCCATGGCAGAGGCTGCCAACCTTACATGAGGAATTACAAGCCAAAAGGGTTTCAGTAATGTTAACAGAAAAATTGACACGGGGCAGAAAAGTAGAACTTTGAGATTTTTTTAGAATGTAATTCAGGAGATAAAACAGAGGGATTCGGGAGTGTCCTAACCTTCTTCCTGTTCCTTTTGTCCTCCATGCCTCGCTGTGATGGTGACACTTTTCTATTGATTTAGGATAGGGACACACTGTCCAACGTGGATTTTAGGCATTGGTATGGAACTGTAAACATGGTACACATAATTTTGGGTATATAATGTGAGAGACACCCAGAGCCAGAGGGAGACTGGCATGGCTTCTGTACCAGCTAGACCTAGGCAGGTCAAAAAGAAAGTATAATAGATAAGAAAAAATAAACAACCTTAAAAACTCAGCTTCAACCTTTTCTTCAGCAGCCAGGCTAGGGAAAAAGAGACTTTCACACGTTAAAGACTCACCAAGTAACCCCAACAGTGCCAAGTCCCTGAAGCAGAAGGGCAGAGCAGACAATCTGAACTCTGCGTGCCAACCTGAACTCTGCGTGCCAACCTGAACTCTGCGTGCCAACCTGAACTCTGCCCAGACCTTGTGTCCCTGCACATCCTCCCCTCAGCCAGCAGCTCACACTCATGCAAGGATCAGCCTTTCCAGGGAGGCACTTTTTGCCAAGCTGTTGCATTTCCCAGCAAATAAAGAGACAGTTCAACAGCAGCCAGCCCAAACCTGTGAGACTGGCGATGTATTTAGGAGGGATTCACATGTGGAGTCCCAGGGATGGATTTAGCTGAGCCACAATCACCTGGAAAGTTCTGTCAGCTCCAGGTTTTCACTTGTGCTTGGAACAGCGTTTAGCATGGGCTGGCTGCCACCAGGGTTAATGTGAGGCACTGCTGAAGTGGCATTTAGCACGCCAGCCTGTGCTAATTGCTCCCTCTCAGGAGCAGGCTGAGGTGCCAGGAGAATTTCCCTTCTCTGCCCTCACGCAAGGTCCAACCAGTCAGACTGGCTCATCCAAAGCAGGCCCAGGGAGTTAAACAAACTCTGGCACAGAGCAATCAAGGAGGCGACGTGTCAAGCCACAAACAATAACACCGCTGCCACAAAACTGAAAACTGAAGCTCTGCCAACTTATAATTATGTTTGGGTTGGACAGGGCATCTTTATTGTTTGTTAATGAAGGCAATAAAATAAATTAGCCCAGGCCTTTTAATATTAAATAAATTAAGCTGTATTTTACAGCTGCCTCGAAAAAAAACTAAAAAAAAACAAAAAAAAAACAAACAAAAAAACCCAACCAAAACCAACCCACAAGGCAGATATAGACTGAACAGTTTTGTGACATGCAGAGTGACACTGGGTGGATAAAAAAATCCCAAGCCAGCAGAAGAGAGAGTTAACCTTCCAGAAGCTAAAAATTAGGGATTTTTTTTTCCCCAAACAAGCCCTGTAATGTTGCTGGGATGCCCAAATGCTTCCCAAGCCTGCAGTGGCAGGGAAAAAGGAGAGTGTTGACACTAGAGGAACTCAGGTGTTGGATCCCATCTTTTCCCGTGGCCATTTCAGCAGCTCTCTAGTTCTCTGCTAAAATAAATCCAGGCACTGGCTCAGGTAGAACTGGACTCAGCAGTTCCTGCAAGCTGTCCTGACATCATCAGCTCTTTCCTTTGGCAATGAGGAATCCCAGCTCCAGCTCCAGAGCCTCCCAGTGTCTGGAGCTCCTGGCCACACCAGGCACAGGAGACATTCCTTGCTGCCTTCTGCTGCTGCTAGAGCTGGAACCACCTGCCTGCAGACTCAGCCAAACACGTTTGCTGCCCCTCACAAACACAACACAACCTTAAAGCTGCTTTTGTTCATCATCATCACTGTTTTTAATTACAGCAAATCCCACCACAGTTCTGGCTGACCTTCCAGTGTGAGCCTCTCCCAGCATTAGTGCACAATTCCCTCCAGCTGAGCAAAAAAAAACTGCCAGAGGGACAAAGGGACTCGGCCCCAGGCCCACTCTGTTCGCTCCTGAAGCAAACTTGAGGAGAGTGGAAGTTTTCACTCTTCTCAAAGCAGCCCAGAACACTTCAGACATTCAATATTCATATCATGAAGGAGATAAAATAAGAGAAAAGTCAGAGAAAGGGAAAGCCACACTGTGGGCATCACCCTCAGAGCACACCCAGCCTCTGATCCTGGCACAAAGCTCTGCCTCACTGTGAAGGAAGGGTTGTTTGAAGAGGAGACCCTCCTGCAAACCCCTCTGAGCTCCAACACTCCTGCACTCTGCAGAAGGACCTGCTCCCAAAACACAGAGATGTTCAAACACAGGAGTTTTAGTGCCAACAGGAGAAACAGAGACAACACACATTGAAATTCTCTGGAAGTAGAAAAAGGCAGCTCACACTCATGCAAGGATCAGCCTTTCCAGGGAGGCAGTTTTTGCCAAGCTGTTACATTTCCCAGTAAATAAAGAGACAGTTCAACAGCAGCCAGCCCAAACCTGTGAGACTGGCGATGTATTTAGGAGGGATTCACATGTGGAGTCCCAGGGATGGACTTAGCTCAGCCACAATCACCTGGTAAATCTATTAGCTCCAGGTTTTCACTTTTGCTTGGAACAGATTCCCACCTTCTTCATTCCCTGCTCACTTCTAACACACAGGGTTGTTTTACAAGTGTTTTACTTGTCAGCCTAGCTCCACAAAACCAGCTCTCAGAAAAGCATCCCAGTGGACTGAAGTGTTTATCCTACTCACACCAAGTTCCTTCAGTCAGCAATAAAATCCCAGGCTGGAAGTCCTGCAGGTGAGTCTTTGACTCAAAACTGCCATCAGTGTGGTTTTACCTCTGTAAAACCATCCTGGTTACCCCCCTACCTCCATGGCATAAAAAGCAGGCAGGGATCCAGAGACAGGGATCCCACAGTGCCAAGAGCTGGATATGAACTCCCTGCCAATCCCCAGCATCAGTTTTGTGCTGTTGCAGCAGAGAGAGAATCACTGTCTCACTGTCTCTGTTAACACAATCATCTCTCAGACTGGCCCAGGGTGGAAAAAAAAACAACAAAACAAGAGAAAGAAGTGCTTTGTCAGAACTAGGAAGTGCTTTTTGCAAGGAGAGCTTCCCTCAGGAAACCAGAAACAACTCTGCAGGGAGAATCCTGCCACAGACACATCCAAAACCAAAAAGGCTTTTGGAGCTCTTGGCACTCATTGAATCACTCCAGCTGCTCTTTGAGCCACTGAGAGGCAGGCTGCCTACAGCTCAGCATCCTCCTTCCAGCTGCTAAACAAAGCACTGGGAGTGCAGCAAACAGGATTGGGTTTCCACCCCTGAATTTACTCACTGCTCAGTGCATGGTGGTTTTCCCCCCAGGAATTCTGCTGCTAGAATCCCCTATCAGCCATCCTGCTCAGATTGGCTGCCAAAAGTGGTTTAGCTTTTGTTCCAGACTAGACATCCACAGAGGCCCTGTCTCCTCTCAAACAAGCCAGCTGGAAGATGGATTGACAAGTATAAAATTTGGAAAAACCCACAAGATAGACAGGAAATCACACAGAAAATGAAGAGGTGCTTATTCACACAGCACAGGGGTAATCAAGTGTGGCTTCTTCCACAGAGAGATGCTAAAAGCTTGGGGAGATTTAAAAAGCAAGAGGTTAAATTAAGCAGGAAAAAAAATCCATTAAGCCTGAACTCTCACTGCTGCCTCAGGAAGTCTTAAAATCATGAAAGACAAAGCAGTGGGGGAAAGTCTCACTGCATGTTTCTTTCACTTTTCCTCCAGGATCTTTGCAAACACAACACGGAGCTGCTACAACCCACTGTGTTCTCCTCCCACCCGAGAGCAGAACGGGACACCAGGAAGAGGAATGACAGAAATGGAGAACTAGGACATTGTTATACACCAGAATCATTAAAAAAAAAAAGACTTTTCAAAACTGAGAAGCAGCAAATCACTACAAATCCATCAGCTTCCTACCCTGAAGCGTTTCACACCCCAGATGGAATTTCCAGGCAGAGGACGAATGACAGCCCAAGGAGCTGCTCACACTTCTGCTCAGGCTACCAGAATATCAGTTGGTTTGAGTCCCTGCAAGAAGAGCTGATATCTGATTTTATTCTGATGCGGAAATGTTCCTGGAATGCCAATTTCCTTCACTCCCACATTTTACAAGTGCTTAAAATCAAAAGCAAGATATCCCAAGGAGACTAAAGTTACCTGGAATTTGGACTAAATGTGCTCTAAGTCCTTTTTACATGAAGTATATTTAAACCCATGCAGAAATGGAGAGCTACAACCCAAGGAGTGCCAGAAGCACAGGAAATCTCCTGAAACCATGAAAGCACAAATCCTGAGCCCATCCCTCTGTCCCTCTTCTGAGTCCACGTGGGTTCCCCATGCTACTGAAATCAAAGCAAGGACTCAAACACCTCTTGACTCAGTTCCCAGCCATCAGCTTTGCTGCCTGCTGGAGCAACTTTGCTGCCCTCTCGGGGTATTTATCTCAGAAACACTGCAAAGAAAGGCTGTGTGTGGACACACAAACCCAACCTCACGTGAACCTCGCCTGACCACATTAAGCTGACGCCTCACAGCAAAACTCCACCGTGTGCGCCCCCAAAGGCAGCAGTTTGGGTCCTGGTGAGGAACATACCCGTGCAGAATTCCTTGTTGGGGTTCTGGGGTACCACAATCCTCCTGTAGACGATGGGCTCCGACTCCAGGATGTTCTCGTCGTGCCGGTAGCGGGCGGGTTTCTCGTTGGGGGTCCCTCGGGAGCGGGTGCCGCTCCTCCTCTCGTAAGTCTCGATCTCCTCAAACACAGCTGCCTTGTCAAAAAGGGCCAGGTTGCCCTCAAAATCGAAATCAGTGTCTGGGATTTCATCGATGTCATCCCCAAAGCACTCGTCGTCCTTGCTCTTCATCTGCCCGTTCTTCAGGCCGCTCTTCTTCGGCGTCACCTGGTTGGGGTGGCGGCTGCTGGACGACCCTAAGCCAAAAGAAAAGCAAGTTGGGAGAGTGCCCTAAAAGGGAAAAAGGCATTTTCTCAGCACATTTTGTGGGAAATGGAGCTCCTGCTTATCCACTCACTCAAGGGGTACTCGCCATGGAGCTCACATCGCTCACGCTCAGCTAAGCCAGCAGAAAATAGAAGGTCAAATAGAAAACAGAACAGCAATAGGAAATAGAGCATCAGCAAAGAGACTTTCAGGGGCTTCCCACCTGCCAGGTTAGAAAAACAGGTTCGCCCACAGTAGCAAAAAAGGTGTTTCTTCAGGGTTTATTTAATCCCACTGCCACATCAGTGGCAAGGTAATCAGCTCTGACCCTGGAGTTTTCCCATGTTCAAGCAGGTGTGTGACCCAGGCCCTTTTTTGGAACTCCCCTAAATTTCAGAAACTACTGTAGGTGTTTTCTTCCCTATTAATGATCTTTAAGAAGAACTTCAAACCTGAATAGAAAGGATCTCTTTTTTTTTCAACCTTGATGTAATTTCTGTGATGTGACACACAGTCCACTGCCTCATTCCTGTTTCACTCTCCTTACCCATTACCTTGTGTTTTGGAATACACTTCTTTCCAATCACAAGTCATTGGGAAAGCTCAAATTCTCTGGTGTGAAACTGATGAAAGCCTCCTCCTTAGGGCTGGAGATGGAGAACTGATGCAAATACACAATTGTGAGGTCAACATATCCTTTACTTGCTTATTTCTTCCTTTGTCCTTCAGGTCCAGACAATATCATTCTGTTTGTCCTTGCCAGTGTCACATTTGCAATTACTAGAAAACATTTCAGGCCAATTCCTGCAGTTACAGGAATCACCTACAGTGTCCAACAGATGGAGTAAGTTATCAAGCCAGAGCTCTTGCTCTACTAAACCATACTCTGTTGTTTAAGACAATCCCCTTTTTGAGGGATTTATACAAATGAGTTGGAGAGAATCAGTTGGATAAGACAGAAACAAAATTTCAAGCCATCCAAGGAGATTTTCCAACATCCCAGAAGATTTGCAACAGGCACAAACTGCACCAGCACCCTTCCTGTCGCCTTACAAGTCCAGTTTCAGCATGTCTAACTGCAGTCATGCTGAAATGTGATTTGCTGAGGAGGTGTACCCGGTTTATTTCCAGGCAGAGACTCATTGCCCCAGCAAGGATTTATTTCAGACAGTGTGGGGCTTGGTTTTTCTCAAGAACTGGTTAAGAACTAACCTGAACGCTTTCCCAGTCCCCACAGCAAGATCCTAAATCTGCCAGGCCTTGCAGAATAACCACTCCCTATTAAGAACAAAAACCCCAAACATCCTTCTCAAATAATAATGCACCTTTTGTCTTGGAAGGACACACAGCAGAATTGCAGCACTGTGGGGACAAAACAGGATTTAGGAGAGGGGAAAGGGTAAGGCTTCCCAGGAAGGAGAGTTGCAGTAAGCACACTGCAACCACTCATTTATGTGCATGCTTTTGAAAGCTTTTGGTACCAGCTTCCACTCTGTCCCAGATAAAGGGCTCCCAAACCAAAGGTGACACAAAGCTGGACAGGATTTGGTTTGGAACTAAGCTGCCACTGCTGGAATCACAGCCACAGCTAGTGCTCTGAAGGAAGAAGATGAGGAATGCAAACACAAGGGGCCCAAGCTCTCCCAGGATTCAGGAACTGCAGCTCAAGCAGAAGCCAAGGGACTCTCAGGGTTCAGGTGGACAAGCTGGAGCCCACCCTGCCACAGAGGCAACGCCAGCCTGCTGCTCGTGTCAGCATCAAGAGTTTGGCCAGCTCAGGCTGTTCCTGTCCCACTCCTTGCCAGACCCCTCTGCAAACAGCTCCACACTCCCCTCAGCTGCCCCAAAACTCAGAGTGGCTGTCCAGTGGGACAGGGGCAGCTGATGTGAGCATGGAATGCTGATGGAATAAAGAGCTGCACCAGAAGAGCTGGAGAACAATGGCTGCAAAGCTCCCTGCAGCCACAAAGAATGGGAGCCAGGAGTCCAACTCATCAAAACGTGCTGGGGCAGCTCCCTGACCCATCCTGAGCTCTGCAATGCTGCTGACCCACACAGCTCTGCCCTGGCTACCCCACAGCCCCCAAAAGAGTCACACAGAACGTGGCACAGGCCTCTTAACGAGCTGGGAGAAAAGTTAGGAGCTGTTCTTCTCCAAGCATCTCCTTCTAGACAGGAAAAAGCAGCAGCTGGTTCTGCTCAGGGAAAAGAGGCAAAAAAAGGGCAAGGGGAGAAAAGCAAAGTCAGGCTGCAGAAAGGCAGCTCTCCTATTCCAGCTGCTTCTGGATCACAGCTTCCAGTGCTCTGCCCTGCTCCAAGCTGGCACACAGAAAAGCACCTCCCTCACAAGATAAACAATCCTTCCCGGGCTTTTTTTTTTTTTGTTTCTAAGGAAAAACAACCCTTTCATGTACAGCACACAAGCAAACAAAGTCTCCAGCAAGCTGGCTGCCTTCCTGAGAGATCCCTGTGGGAGGCTCTGCTGCCAGCCCCGGCACCACGAGCCCGGTGCCAGCAGAGCCATTGCTGGGAAACCTGCACTGCTGTTTGTTGTTCATTGATTCCTGGCACACCAGGGCTCCAAAGGGGAATTCTGGCCCTCACTTGGCACGCTAGGGGCCAACCAGAGGGCAACTTTCAGCTGTAGGACACAAGCTCTGGATGACATCTCAGCCCATTCTTCCCTGCACTCCTGCACAAAGCCAGGCCCAACTCCATCCCCCTCCCAAAACTCACACATCACTCACCCAGCTCTCCAAATACACACATTTTGCAGGGTAAGACATCCCTTCTGTATTCCAAAATGAACCCAAGCTAACAATCTACACCAGGACCTTGCTCAACCTGCCTCAAAGCCTGTAAAAGTGACCTGTTGTGCTCATGTAAACCTAACATGAGTTGTTTGTGGGGTGAAGTCGACAACACCTAACTCTGCTCACCCCAAGTTTACCAGACATCCTGGAAGGGTTAAAAATCTCCCACTTGGTGGTGGGGGAAAAAGATTTCCAGAGGTTTAGGAATTTCTCTCCAAAAACACAGCCTTACAGCTGTTTCACTGGCCTGGCCCACCTTGGTTTGTTTCTTTTGCAAAGGGAGGGAAAAAATGAAATAATGGAATTACTCTGGATGCATACCAAGGCTTCAACAATTAAGTCTGGAAATATGCTGGATGTACACTAAAATTTCAGGAGTTATGAGGGTCTGGAAAGGAAGATAGCTCAGGAGGCTTTGAGGAAAAAAGTGAACAAAGCCAGTTGTGGCCTAATTTTGAAGATTTTATCAAGAGAAATAAAAATAAGAGATGTGTGACTTTGGGATGCTCTGATTGTATCTTACATCACCCTCATTGATTTGTATTTTTAACAACACAGCCAAAACCCATTTGTAGTTATGCACAGAGTGATGTTGTAATAGGTTATGGGTATAGAAGCCTTAAATAGAAAAGCCTGAGGAGATTTAAAAAGCAAGAGGTTAAATAAAGCAGGAAAAAAAGCCATTAAGCCTGAACTCTCACTGCTGCCTCAGGAAGTCTTAAAATCATGAAAGACAAAGCAGTGGGGGAAAGTCTCACTGCATGTTTTCCTGGAGGATCCTTGCAAACACAACACTGAGCTGCTACAACCCACTGTGTTCTCCTCCCACCCGAGGATCATATTGCAGTTTGTTTGCAGCTCCTTTTAGAGGAAAAGGCTGGAAGCTGGGCAATCCTCAAATAGCAAAAGGAGGAAATCTTTAGAACTGGCATTATGTGGGAATCCAGAGCATTCCTCTGGCTGCCCTG